AGGGGGGAGGGTCAGAGGGAGAAGCAGACCCCCTGCCGAGCAAGGAGCCCGATGTGGGACTCGATCCCGGGACTCCAGGATCATGACCTGAACCGAAGGCAGTCGCTTAACCAACTGAGCCACCCAGGCGCCCGAATCTGAATGTTTTCTTAAGCTTTGCTACTCAAAGTATGATCCCCAGGCCAGCAGCATTGGTATCACCTGGAAGCTTTTTAGAAATGCAGTCTCAGGATGTACCCCAAACCTACTAAATCAGAACCTGTATTTTAATAACATTCCCAGGTGATTCATTGCACACTGAGATGTGAGAGCTTTTAATTACTTTTGTCTTAATGATCAGTTTCTTCCTTCCATCATCCTTTTTTTTTTTTTAAGATTTATTTATTTATTTGAGAGAGAGCAGGGGGAGGGGTAGAGAGAGACCATCTCAAGCGGACTCCCGGCTGAGCGCACAGCCCATGGCAGGGCTCAATCCCGCAGCCCCGAGATCATAACCTGAGCTGAAAGCAAGAGTCGGAGGCTTAACTGACTGAGCCACCCAGGTGCCCTCCATCATCCTTTTATTTTTTTTAACCATACTTATGAACCTCCTCTGTATAAACAGTGTGAATTTATAACTCACAGTGTGAGTTATCAAGAGGTATCATTACAGTCGAGCTTTCTTGTGTATGGTAGTGAAAAAAAAGTATAACCGTTCAAAATTCTAATCTGTAAATAGAACTTTTTCTGTCAGTAATACTTTGCTGGTGAGTAACACCCCATCTAATATGTAATGCCATATTACCAGTACAGAAGATGGAAAATTTAGTTTTTAAAAACATGATTACACAATTAAATCTTGACCTCCTTGAAGGGTTAGACCTATTGACATTTGTTATTTACCTTGGCATAGATATTTTCTAGGTGAAGGCAAAATATTCCAGGACTGGCCTTCTAGTTATCTTTGACCTTTTATGAGAGTTTATCAGTTCTCCTTTCCTTGTTTTTTGTTTTTTGGGTTTTTTTTTAAGATTTTATTGATTCAGAGGTGCCTGGGTGGCTCAGTTGGTTAAGCGTCTGCCTTTGGCTCCGGTCATGATCCCTGGATCCTGGGATCAAGTCCCACATCAGGCTTCCTGCTCATCGGGGAGTCTGCTTCTCCCTCTCCCCCTCCCCCCAACTTGTTCTCTCTCTCTCTCTCTCTCTCAAATAAATAAAATCTTTTTTTTAAGATTTTATTTATTTGAGAGAGAGTGTGCGAGCAGGGGGAGGGGCTTAGGGAGAGAGAGAATCTCAAGCAGAACCCACTGTGGGGCTCGATCTCATGACCCTGAGATCATGACCTGAGCTAAAACCAAGAGTCAGACACCAACCAACTGAGTCACCCAGGCTCCCCGCTTCTTTCCTTGGTTATTAACTATAAGGCTTACCTATCAAGACAGTAATGGTTAGTGACTTGATGTCCAGGTAAATATACCCTAGCTTAATTCCTGTAACTGAGTTTTTTTTTTTAAGATTTTATTTATTTATCTGAGAGAGAGAGCATGAGAGAGAGCATGAGAGGGGGGAGGGTCAGAGGGAGAAGCAGACTCCCTGCTGAGCAGGGAGCCCGATGTGGGACTCGATCCTGGGACTCCAGGATCATGACCTGAGCTGAAGCAGTTGCTTAACCAACTGAGCCGCCCAGGCGCCCCGTGTAACTGAGTCTTTCCAATTTTCCATAGATTCCCCTTTTATTTTTCCTTTACTCATCACTTCTTTTTTTCTGGAAACTGGTACCAAATGTTCAGATTGTTCCTTGTTTGGAAGCACTTCTCTCTTTGTTCATCCCCATCCATGGAATGTAGTTTTTCAGACTGCCTCCCCCGCTACTGATTCACTTTTATTTCTTTTATTCCATTAGCCGGAAGAAATTCAACAGCAGATTGTCCGAGAGACCTTCCATCTAGTTCTCAAGCGAGATGACAACATCTGTAACTTCTTGGAAGGTGGAAGGTAAATGATGGGCTTCCATTTTCTCCCTGTGTATCCACTATTGGGTGCCCTTCATCACTCTTGCCTCTTCAGGTAGTACTCAAGTGTCAGGTGGGTACCTGAGCTGCTCACGAAGAGACCCAATTCTGTTTTGGAAGCTGTTGAATGGTTGTGCTTCAGATATTACTCATTTAGATGTTTGGTTCCTGGGAGGGATGGCAGAAGAAAAGGTGAGGTAAAGTGGTTTTAGGCACCTCTTCCAAACTTGGTTGCTGTTCCCCTGGTAAACATGGCCTGTTGTTTGGCCTGTGCTCACCTTTCGGTTGCACCTGTTCTCATTCTTTGGCATAGGGTTTCTCTTTGAAATGTTTAATTAAGATACAGCCATTTAAACGTTTCCCATCTTCCACAGTTTGATTGGTGGCCCTGACTACAAACTGATTTATCGGCACTATGCTACACTCTACTTTGTGTTTTGTGTGGATTCATCAGAGAGTGAACTTGGAATCTTGGACCTCATCCAGGTATGCGTAGTCAGCTAATGATGGCAGCCACTAAAGAGAATTTGCACTGGATTTTTGAGTAACCATCCTGTAGATCTTTTTGTCAGTCTTTTTATTGATACTGGTAAGAGTTGCCAGATGTCCACCATATGGTGCTGTAAGAAAGCTCCTAGCAACCCGTAAAAACTCCTAGAGTTTTCGGACTCATTGGTTTCTACCCAGCCCTCTCACTGCCCTTGGTTTTCATGTACGATTCTGATACCAACTCCGATGTGTGTGCTTCCCCCTCACCACCACCTAGCAGTTAACTCAGTTCTCTGTGGGCAATGACCAGGTGTTCCACAAATGTAACTCAATTCTGACACTATCTACCTGAAGATAGACACCAGTCACAAGTCCAGGTTGGTGTCACTTGTGCTTCCGACTGACTGGCTATGGATTGGAGGTTCCCATGACTTCCTCCTTGGGTTTAATTTGCTAGAGTGGCTCACAGAACTCTATAGAAGAACCATCTTACTATAGAAGGATATAACTCAGGAACAGCGAGATGGCAGAGATTTACAGGGCAAGGAATGGAGAAATGGGGAAAGGGCTTCCATGCCCTTTCCAGTCAGGCCACTCTCCAAAGTCCACCAACCTGGAAGCTCTCCAGACACTGACCTGTTGGGTTTTTCTGGAGATCAGGGGTGGGACTGACAGTTCCAGTCCTCTAAATGCATGGTTGGTTTGCCTGGCAACAAGCCCCCATCTTCGGTGCCTTCTAAAAGTCACCTTATTAACATAAACAGGATACCTTTATCATTTAGGAAATTCCAAATTCCTTTATCACTTAGGAACTCTGTGCCAGAAACAGGAATGAATACCAAATATTTTCTTATTATAAATTACAGTATCATACCATGTTTTGAAATTTTTTTCAACTATTAAGCCAAATGACATTTAAGAATTCATACTTTTTATTTTCACTTGTAATTCTAGCCTAAGACAAAGATACTTGATGTTTTGGTTAGTCTATGCAATCTTAACATAGGTAAACATGATTTTTTTTTAGGATTTTGGAAAATTAGAAATGGCTTACAGATTCTTTTATTTTTTTATTATTATTTATCCATTTGAGAGAGAGAGTGAGTGAGAGAGAGAGAACACAAGCCGGGGGTGAGGGTGGGGGTAGGCAGAGGGAGAAGCAGGCTCCCCACTGAGTAGGGAACCTGACACGGGGCCCCATTTCAGGACTCTGGGCCCATGACCTGAGCCGAAGGCAGACACTTAACTGACTGAGTCACCTAGGTGTCCCGTGGCTTATAGATTTTTTTTTATTGTCTTTATGGAAACTGAGATGTGTAGGGACCCTAGCTTGGGAACCATTAATTTAGTATAATTCTATCATTTTAGATTTTTTTTTAAAGTAATTTCTGCATCCAACATGGGGCTCAAACTCAGAACCCTGACAGCAAGAGTTGCATGCTCTACCGACTGAGCCAGCCAGTGGCCCCTAACATCATTTTATATGTGAAATTTTAGGTAGGCTTCCTTTAAGTGACTTGAATAAGTTTCTTAAGTAGAAAGCACTGAAATAGAAGCTTGCATTAAAACCTAATTAACAATTATAGAAAACTCTCTAGCTACAGAAATATAAATTTTACATTCAGAAAATGATTTAAGATGATTAAAAACTCATACATTATATTCGCGTATTGTACCTAACAGTATATAAATTATCTAAAAAGATTATCTCAAGTTTTTTTTTTAAAGATTTTATTTATTTATTTGACAGAGA